TGCAGATGACACCACTCTGATGGCCGAAAGCGAGGAGGAGCTGAGGAGCTTCTAATCAAGGTGAAAGAAGAAAGCGCAAAAGCCGGGTTGCAGCTAAACGTCAAAAAAACCAAGATTATGGCAACAAGAATGATTGACCACTGGAAAATAGAGGGAGAAACCGTGGAGGCCGTGACAGACTTTGTATTTCTAGGTGCAAAGATTACTGCAGATGCAGACTGTAGCCAGGAAATCAGAAGACGCTTACTTCTTGGGAGGAGAGCAATGTCCAGTATCGATAAAATAGTGAAGAGTAGAGACATCAGACTGGCAACAAAGATCCGCCTAGTCAAAGCCATGGTATTCCCTGTAGTCACCTACGGATGTGAGAGCTGGACCTTAGGGAAGGCTGAGCGAAGGAAGATCGATGCTTTTGAGCTGTGGTGTTGGAGGAAAGTTCCGAGAGTGCCTTGGACTGCGAGAAGATCCAACCAGTCCATCCTCCAGGAAATAAAGCCCGACTGCTCACTGGAGGGAAAGATACTAGAGACAAAGTTGAAGTTCTTTGGCCACATCATGAGGAGACAGGAAAGCCTAGAGAAGACAATTATGCTGGGGAAAGTGGAAGGCAAAAGGAAGAGGTGCCGACCAAGGGCAAGATGGATGGATGGCATCCTTGAAGTGACTGGACTGACCTTGAGGGAGCTGGGGGTGGTAACGGCCGACAGGGAGCTCTGGCGTGGGCTGGTCCATGAGGTCACGAAGAGTCGGAGACGACTGAACGAATGAACAACAACAACAACCCAGGATGATGATGATGATGATGATGATAATAATAATAACAATAACAACAACAACAATAACAACTTCTTTTCTATCCTGCCCTAAGTCCCCAATGCAGGTTGACCCCACTTTAATTGTCATGGGTTAAAGCCATGACATTCTGGGAGTTGTAGTTTTGGAAGGTCTTTGCAGTTCAGTGGGCCGCCAAACTACAAATCCGAAAACTGTCCCATTCAAGTGAGTACACCCGCTTTTCAAGGAGGAGGGGGGGTGTCTTTTCAACTAAGCCACGGAGTTCTACCTGCACAAAACATGCTCCTTTCCCCCCAAAAAACCCAAAACAAATGGTTGCAATATTTGGTTTCACAGAATGGAAAGGAACAAATGCCCTTATCAGCAATCCCCATGAGGTACAAAGAGGCGCTTTTATCTCCCTGCATTTGCTCATCTAGAGCCAAGCAAGGCCTCTTGTATTTTCCAACCCATAATTTTCTGAGCTGAATGCATTTGCGGTGCCAGCACAATCTGGGACAGAGAATGCCTTCCTTTGCAAAGGCCTTAGATTTGCACTCAGGTGTGCATGTTTATCTCTTAATTTAGCAAACTGCAACTGACATTGCTGGTTTTATTTTGTTTTTTAAGGTACGTACTTCAAACCCCAACTTTTTCTCCCTTGCTCCCATGCATTATATGTAAAACTTGCACAGGAAGCAAAATGCTGTGCCAAAATGATAGGGAAAAGAGGAAAGGGTGCAAACCATGAGTGCATATACCAGCGTTTCTCAGCCTGGGGGTCGGGACCCCGGGGGGGTCACGAGGGGGTGTCAGAGGGCTCCCCAAAGACTTTCAGAAAACACAGTATTTTCTGTTAGTCATGGGGGTTCTGTATGGGATATTTGGCCCAAATCTATTGTTGGTGGGGTTCAGAATGCTCTTTGATGGTGATGGTAAAGGTAAAGGTAAAGGTAAAGGTTTTCCCCTGACATGAAGTCTAGTTGTATCTAGCTCTGGGGGTTGGTGCTCATCTCCATTTCTAACCCAAAGAGCTGATGTTATCTGTAGACACCTCCAAGGTCATGTAGCCATTGGCATGACTGCATGGAGCACTGTTACCTTCCTGCCAGAGTGGTACCTATTGGTCTACTCACATCTGCATGTTTTCGAAAGGCTAGGTTGGCAGAAGCTGGGGCTGACAGTGGGAGATCTCCCTTCCCTGAATTCGAACCTGAGACCTTTTGATCAGCAAGTTCAGCAGCTCAGCAAGTTCAGCAGCTGAGCGCTTTAACCCACTGCGCCACCAGGGACTCTTTGATTGTAGGTGAACTATAAATCCCAGCAACTACAACACCCAAATGTCAATTTCTATTTCCCCCAAACACCAGTATTCACATTTGGGCATATTGAGTATTCGTGCCAAGTTTGGTCCAGATCCATCATTGTTTGAGTCCACAGTGCTCTCTGGATGTAGGTGAGCTACAACTCCACAATTCAAGGTCAATGCCCACCAAACTATCCCAGTATTTACTGTGGGTCATGGGGGTTCTGTGTGGGAGGTTTGGCCCAATTCTATCCTTAGTGGGGTTCAGAATGCTCTTTGATTGTAGGTGAACTATAAATCCCAGCAACTACAACACTCAAATGTCAAGGTCTATTTTCCTTAAACTCCATCAGTGTTCACATTTGGGCATATTGAGTTTTCGTGCCAAGTTTGGTCCAGATCCATCATTGTTTGAATCCACAGTGCTCTCTGGATATAGGAAAACTACAACTCCAAAACTTAAGGTCAATGCCTACCAAACCCTTCCAGGATTTTCTGTTATTCATCGGAGTTCTGTGTGCCAAGTTTGGTTCAATTTCGTTGTAGGTGGAGTTCAGAATGCTCTTTGATTGTAGGTGAACTATAAATCCCAGCAACTACAACTCCCAAATGACAAAATCACACACACACACAAAATCCCACCAGTGTTCAAATTTGGATGTATTCCCCAAACCTGGCACACAGAACACTCAGGAGTTGTAGTTGCTGGGATTTATAGTTCACCTACAATCAAAGAGCATTCTGAATTCCGCCAATGATAGAATTGAACCAATCTTGGCACACAGAACCCCCACAACCAACAGAAAATACTGGAAGGGTTTGGTGGGTGCTGAACTTGAGTTTTGGAGTTGTCATTCAGAGATATCCAGAGAGCACTGTGGACTCAAACAATGATGGATCTGGGCCAAACTTGGCACAAATACTCAATATGACCAAATGCCTTTCAGCAAAGCTTGGAATGCTATTGGATATTTGGAAAAGGCAAGGAACCTCAGAATGTGATACCTTTCTCCCTTCGATGCTTTGCTTTTCAGGCCAGAAACCCTTCTTTTGGATCTGGATTTGGCTTTCTAGACGGTGCAAGGGAGGAAAGTGGCCTTGTTGAGGAATGGAGTAATTCCTCCTTAATCTCGTTTTTAAGCTCTCCCTCGGTAAGAACATCACAGGAGTGAAATTGTCGGCTAAGCCAGTCTTTCTCAACCGTTTCACCTTGGATGAACCTTTGAAATAATTCCCAGGATTAAGGGAACCCCAACATGAGAATTCTTTTTTGTTGTTGTTGTTGGTCATACATTTTTTAATTTTCGTTTTCACTTGTATACCATAAGAGTGGGGGGAAAGGCCAAGGAAAATATAATATGATGATTATGGAATTTTGTTAGTAATTTAAGTCTATTCATAAGTCTAATGTACATCCAAGAATAAGGATATACCAGATTTAGATATGCCAGGTTTGGTCAAGGTCCATCAAGACACGTAGAAGCATTTATGATACGAACAATCCAACATACATACTTTGACTTTTAGATATACCAGGTTTAGATATTCCAAGTTTGGTCAAGATCCAAGATCCAAGAACATCATACATACTGTGATTTTTAGATATACCAAGTTTGGTCAAGATCTATCCAGCCATGTAGGAACATCATATATACGTTGACATTTAGATATACCAGGTTTGGTCAATATCTATCAAGCCATGTAGGAACATCATACATACTTTGACTTTTAGATATACCAGGTTTAGATATACCAGGTTTGGTCATGATCTACCAAGCCATGGAGGAGCATTTGTGATATAAACAATCCAACATACATACTTTGACTTTTAGATATACCAGGCTTAGATATACCAGGCTTGGTCAAGATCCATCAAGCCATGTAAGAACATCATACATACTGTGATTTTTAGATATACCAGGTTTGGTCAAGATCTATCCAGCCATGTAGGAACATCATACATACTTTGACTTTTAGATATATCAGGTTTAGATTTACCAGATTTGGTCAAGATCTATCAAGCCATGTAGGAACATCATATATACATTGACTTTTAGATATAGCAGGTTTAGATATATCAGGTTTGGTAAAGATCTACCAAGCCATGGAGGAGCATTTGTGATATAAACAACCCAACATACATACTTTGACTTTTAGATATACCAGGCTTAGAAATACCATGTTTGGTCAAGATCCATCAAGCCATGTAGGAACATCATATATACTTTGACTTTTAGATATACCAGGCTTAGATATACAAGATCTATCGAGCCATGTAGAAACATTTGTGAAATGAACAATCCAACATACATATGTTGACTTTTAGATATACCTGGTTTGGTCAAGATCCATCAAGCCATGTCGTAGCATCATACATACTGTAACTTTTAGATATACCAAGTTTAGTCAAGATCTGTCAAGCCATGTAGGAACATCATACATACTTTGACTTTTAGATATACCAGGTTGAGATATACCAGGATTGGCTAAGATCCATCAAGCCATGAAGTAACATTTGTGATACAAACAATCCAACATACATACTTTGACTTTTAGATACATCAGGTTTAGATATACTAAGCTGGTCAAGATCTATCAAGCCATGTAGGAGCACCATCCATACTTTGACTTTTAGATAAAGGAGGTTTAGATATACTAGATTTGGTCAAGGTCCATCAAGCCATATAGGAGCGTTTGTGATATAAACAATCCAACATACACACTTTGACTTTTAGTTCTATGGAAAGTAAAAGGCTCATCCTGATCCGCCCCTCTCTCTCCAAAAGTATTTCCCACACCTTGGTTACTGTCCCATCTCTATATAAACATGCATGCCCTGATGCCAAATATCTTGCAACCTTGTGTGGTTGTACAGTCAGAGGTGGCTCCGTATGTAACAACAGCATGCACAGGGTCTTACTTGTGGCTGTCTGGACTGGGCTTTCCACATCCAAGCCGGACCTGTAATCCTGAATGGATCCGTTTCCTGGCGCTGTGGCCTCTGATGTGCGCGGTGCGACTTCACTCGCAGGAAGCTTCAGCACAGAAGCTTCCAAAGGAAAGGCTGCTGGGGTCTGGAAGAGAAGATGGCAAAGTAAGCTTTTGCTACTATACAATGTCCCAGAATACTTGAATACACAAAGCAATCTATGAAAGTATAATACCCCAAAAGCATATAGTATATAATTGTATCAAAATTATCAAAATGGTTTCTCTGTCAGTCTGAATTCGGAAGTCCCAGAATAGTTTGACGTGTTCATTTTCTGTAACTTTTTCAAGCTTGTGATCCCACCAGTTCTTTGTCACAGGCAGATGGTATTTGTGGCATTATTATTATTATTATTATTATAAAGGCTGGGTGGCCATCTGTTGGGTGTGCTTTGCTTGTGCTTTCCATGCATGAAGGCAGAAGGAAGTTGGACTGGATGCCCAACCCTGGGGGTTACTGTTGTTGTTGTTACAAAGACTGGGCAGGGAGGCTTTGACTGTGCTTTTCCTGCATGGCAGAATGGAGTTGGACTGGGTAGCCCCGTGGGTTGCTCCTATTACTACTACTACTACTACTACTACTACTACTATCATTGGAAAAGCTGGGTGACAATCTACTGGGGTGCTCTGATTGCATTTTTCCTGCATGGCAGAAAGAAGGGGGTTGGACTGGATGGCCTCTGGGGTTGCTCCTATTACTACTACTACTACTATTATTATTGGAAAGCCTGGGTGGCCATCTGTTATTATCGGCTGTTAGGATTTACTTACTTACTTGTTGTTTTAATTGTTATTATATTGCTGTGTTACGTGTAGTGGCACCGAATTGCTGCCAAATGTGAGCCGTCCTGAGTCCCCCTTCGGGGGTTGAGAAGGAACGGGATAGAAACACCATAAATAAATAAATAAATAAATAAATAAATAGTGGGAATTGAAGTCCAAAACACCTGGAGGCGGGGCCAATAGAAATGGAAATTCAAAGGCGCGAACCATAAAAGCAGTATGATATGTAGTTTAAAACCTAGAAAACATACAAACATTAAAATAGAACTAAACACAAACAGAAACAGGAAAGTGAGCACAAATCAAAATAACATAGAATGATCCCAAGCATTTGGGTGCAAGTTAAAAGGAAAGAAACAAACTGTACTGAATGGACGTAAATATAGTAAACAACTATTATCAATCCTTGACATGAACTGGTCTGAGAAGCTCTGCCTCAACCAACAAGGAAGAAACCTGAAAGATCAATTCATTCCTCGCCGTTTGCGACAACGACGGTTGCATGTGGCAATCCTTTTGACCGTTGTTTATTTGTCTTTGAAGGCACCATCGATTGGTGCAACCTGCACATTGGGCAACCTCAACCACTGCATTGCAAACATTTATTCCCATTGCATCTTGAGCAACGTAATCCTCAAATGGCAACCTCAAAGGTATCCAGAGTGAATTGCCCAATCAGGAATGCAACCTTCACCTTGCCTTCTGCCAATGCAGCTTGACTTCCCTCAATACAATTTAACACTTCAAGCGGTGTCAAAGTGTGCTAACTTTACAGTGTAGATGCAGTTGTAGTCTCAAAAAACCCTTTTCTAGTGTCAATGTATGTCTGTGAACATGCCACATTTCCATACTGCAAGGCATATCCTGAAAAGTTGCAAACAGCAGTTATTTTCTAAGGAGCTCAGCTTACTTTTTCTTTCTTTTTTCTTTACTTATCAAAAGAAAAAGAAAAAGTTGGTATTTTTGCAAAGGAAGGCTTGAACTGAGAAAGATTTCCAGTGGGCAGAAGAGAAATAAATGGCTGTGTTGCCTTTCCTAGGCCTTCGCCCCATGTCCACCAGAAACAGATGCAATTATGCACATTAATAAACACAGAATAAATTATGTAAACTACAGAAATGGTATGCATGGACTTAATTAACATAACCTACATCTGTTAAAGGCTGTCGTCGTCGTCCCCCCTTCTACATGACATGCAATCTGACTGCAGAATGATGATACTATTATTACATTTTCTCATTGATAGCTATTATTAAATTTGATGGGTTTTGCTATAGAGAGGAGGTACTTTCCAGGACAATTTGAATCCCAGCATCTAGCAGTATTCCAGATTCAGCTGCAGAATGATCAATTTTTAAAGGAATATTCATATATACAAGAGAATATACAAGAGTAATTTTAATCCCACAAAGATGGAAGATTGAGAAGGAAAGTTCTGGCAATAAAACCTACTTAAGCCAATAGCAGGAATTTGTCCTTTTCTACATTTGATTTATGAACACATAAGCACTGGGCTGACATGCAGAACTGATTTTATGCTGATCCAATTGATCGATAGATAGACGAATAACTGGATGGATGGATGGATGGATGAACGGATGGATGGATGGATAGCTGGATGGGTGGATATGGATAGATGAACGGATGGATGGATGGATGAATGGATGAATTAATTGTTGGATAAATGGGTGGATGGATTATACTATCTCATGATAGTATTGAGTCACAGCACTCAAAGTGGTGTCAAATAGTATTTATTTGACAGTATATCGATGCCCTCCCAGTAAACCCAGTGAAGTTGCACCGTTAGTAAAACTACACATCCCATGATTGCATAGCATTGAGCCAGTTCAAGTGGTATCAATATGCATTCACCCTATAGTAAAGATAGACCCTTAGTAAAACTACGCATCCCACTATTCCACAGCATTGAGCCATGGTAGTTCAAGTGGTATCAATATGCATCCTCCCTATAGTAAAGATAGACCCTTAGTAAACCTACACACCCCACTATTCCACCGCATTGAGGCATGGTAGTTCAAGTGGTATCAATATGCATCCACCCTACAGTGAAGATACACCCTTAGTAAAACTACAGATCCCATAATTCCACAGCTTTGAGCCATTGCAGTTAAAGGAGTGCCTGGGAGACACAGAGGTGTCAGAAGGTTATTTAAGGTCAGCTTCAGGAGGGATTTTGGCAAATAAGGGTGTGAGCCAATAGCAAGCAAGCTGCCCAACGTTTAGTGGGAAAGGAAGGAATGGACGATCAAAGGGCACAAAGGTTGCACACACTGAGAAATGTCCCAGTTGTTGGACACTTCAGCCTCTTTTCAAGCACGAAGAAGCATGGAGCTCATAATTTATTTTATTTATTTACTAGCTTTACCCGCCACGCGTTGTTGTGGCCAATCTTCCCTCTCTCTTTCTCTCCTTTTTTCCCTCCTTTTTTTGCTCGCTCCTTCCTTCCTTCCTTCCTCCTTCCTTCCTTCCTTCCTTCCTTCCTTCCTTCCTTCCTTCCTTCCTTCCTTCTTTCTTTTCTTTTCTTTTCTTTTCTTTTCTTTTTTCTTTCCTTCTCCCCTTCCTTCCTTCTCTACCACTTTCCTTCCTTCCCCCTTTTTCTTTCCCTCCCTCCTTCTCACCTTTCTTCCGTCTCTACCTCTTTCCTTCTTTCTCTCTTTCCTTCTTTCCTTCCCTCCCCCCTCTCTTTCTTTCTGTCTTTCTTCCTTTCTTTCTTCCTTCCTTCCTTCCTTTCTTTCTCTCCTTCCTTCCCTCCCTCCCTCCCTCCTTCCTTCCTTCCCTTTTTTCTGTATAATCATTTAACTTTTCATCATTTAGCTTTTTGGGTTTAATTCCTTTCTGCTCTTTTGGGGGGAGGGGTTATAGGTGATGGTTTGTTAGGGGTGTAGTGTCCAAATTTCATGTCAATTCATCCAGTGGTTTTTGAGTTATGTTAATCCCACAAACGAACACTACGTTTTTATTTATATAAATTTGCCATATTTATACCCCCGCCTTTCTCTACCTCAGCAGGGGGACTCAAGGCAGCTTACAATGGCACATACACTGTGCCTCAAAACAACAAATTCACCTAAAATAGTTTAAAATTACAACATATTAGACATGGTTAAAATACATTCAAAAATTAAAACATGTCATCTAGGTCTAAGGCCATTCCAAGGTCAAACTGCACATAATTCTATATCCAGCATACTGCATTGCCCTAATTTTCAAAAGCCTTCTCCCAGAGCGAGGTTTTGATTCTCTTCCTGGAGGCTAGTAGGGAGGGGGCTGATCTGATGTCACAAGGGAGGGAGTTCCACAACCGAGGGGCCACCACTGAGAAGGCCCTGTCTCTTGTCCCCGCCAGCTGTACTTGTGAGGAAGGTGGGACCAAGAGCAGGGCCTCCCCAGATGATCTTAGTCTCTAAGCTGGTTCGTAGGGGATGATACATCCCGACAGGTAGCCTGGGCCGGAACCGTTTATAGGCTAACGCCAGCACTTTGAATTGTGCTCGGTAGGAGACTGGCAGCCAGTGGAGCTGTTGGACCAAAGCAATCTCATGCATTTCTGAAGAGACACTTTCTGTTTGTCCCTTGCTGTAACACAACCTCCACATTCCAAACTTTATGACCCTGATTTGAATATGCATGTAAGTTAAAGAGTTGACCACCATTTGAGATATGTCTTCAAGTCACGTAGCCTTCTGGACACATGGTCCTGTAAACCTATATAAGGAGAATGTTTCCTTTGTGTTTCTTCTTCTTTCGCTTCCTCTTTTTGGTTTCTTTTGTTTTGCTGAGATGTAACCCTTTTGGATGAAAGAAGGCCTGCTTACCACCTTGAGGCTGGATTTCATTACTTTGTCTTTAACCAAGGAATTTTTTACCTCTATGACACTACATCATGCAAGTTTTGTAAGTAAAGCCTTTTTACATTTTATCTCTCTGTCTGAGCTGATTATTTCTGCATGCATGGTTCTTTAAAAGGGAGAAGAGCGGAAGCTCTGTTTCTTTTATTGGTCTCAAACTTTTTCTTAAACCCTCAGGCATTTCTACCTGGCTTTTGTCCCTAAGCTTTTGCTGCAAACAGGAGCTTTTTTGTTGAGTTCCAGGGCCAGAGAAGCAGACGGCGGAAACAGAAAAACGGTCTGCCTCAGGGGAGCGTGCTTGCTCCATCCATGTTCAACATTTACACAAATGACCAGCCACTGCCAGAAGGGGCAGAGAGCTTCATCTATGCTGATGATCGTGCCATTACTGCTCAAGCAGGGAGCCTTGAGATGGTTGAACAAAAGCTCTT